CCATCAAATGAGGAACTTGTGCATTCATAAACCATTTCTCTGTTGCCCTTCATCTGAAGGTACGACTCACAATTATCACATCCATCATATTCAAACTGGTCAATCGTCTGGAGACGGAAAACAACACACAGGAGTGGGAGAATATGAGTTCAATTCAACATAGAGACAAAATCCGACACATAAGCTAACAGTTAGCATATATGCTAGCTAGGTTTACCTTCACGAGAGAGCATAACAGACACGCCCGGAGGTGGCGGAGATCTTTCGGCACCGTTTCTAACGCCATTGTGTATAAACCTCTAAACACGTTACAACAAATAATCCAATAATTATCACAATGTTTAATTCCTGGGCTGTACTTTTTTTCTACGGGCGCACAATGACGTAAGCGGTAACTGTAGGACTCAAACAATGACGTCCTAATTATGCGCCTGATTAAAAACAAAATATTATTAGGCGCTTCTAATAAACAATTTACATTTTACCTTAAAAAGATTTGGATTTTTTTTATATATAGAAGAAAATAAGCGGCGTAAATGTCAAATAATTATCTTAAGGCATCAAAAATATTTCGCGTCGTCATTGATTTTAGATTGTTGAGCCTTTTTCTGTTCCAAAGGTTTTCAGACCAACCTTAAATTAAAATATATTGTTTTTTATTTTATTTAACTACTTATATTTATAAATAATATATTTTTTTTATAAAATTAAAAAATGAGATTTGAAGTCTTCTCTTTTACTAATGACAAACATAAATACAGTTGTAGAAACGATGGGACATTATTTCACAGTGTTTTACAGAGGCTACAAGATTAATCCGTGACATTTCCATACAGTGAGGAAAATAAGTATTTTAACACCCTTCTATTTTACAAGTTCTCCCACTTAGAAATCATAGAGGGGTCTGAAATTGTCATCATAGGTGCATGTCAACAGTCACTTTTTTTTCTAAAAAGAAAAAAAAATCCAGAAATCACAATATATGTATTTTAACACCTGAGAAAACCAATGTTATTATTTGGTAAAGTAGCCTTTTATTTGCAAGTACAGAGGCCAAGTGTTTCCTGTAGTTTCTTAAATTATTGACTTTATTAATCTCACATAGTGAGTATTAAGTATTAATCTCATAGTGAGTCCACATATGACAGCTTATTTTTTTTTAGTAGGATCATTATACAGGGTTATTGCACAGGGTGTTTACATGGGTATCTATATAGTTGGATATTTATATATATATAGTAATTGCACTGGGTGTCAAATATAGTGAAACAGGTTATTGCTCAGGGTATCAAATAGTAATTGCACATTATACATTGCACAAGTTATTGCTGTTGTATTTTCACCAGGTTTGTAGACCCTGCAGGAGGGATTTTGGCCCACTCCTCCACACAGATCTTTTCTAGATCAGTCAGGTTTCTGGGCTGTTGCTGAGAAACACAGATTTTGAGCTCCTTCCAAAGATTCTCTATTGGGTTTAGGTCTGTAGATTCGCTAGGTCACATCAGAACATTGATATGCTTCTTCCAGAGCCATCTCTTGGTTATAATGTGTGCTTCGGGTCATTATCATGTTGGAGACCCAGCCTCCACCCATCTTCAATGCTTCAACTGAGGGAAGGAGTTTGTTCCCCAAAATCTTGCAATACATGACAGCGGTCATAATACAGTGCAGTCGCCTTGTCCCATGTGCAGAAAAACAACCCCAAGCATGTTGCTACCACCCTCATGCTTCACAGTAGGGATGCTGTTCTTGGGATGGTACTCATCATTATTCTTCCTCCAAAAATGGTTGGTGGAATTATGATCAAAAAGTTCTATTTTGGTTTCATCTGACCACATGACTTCCTCTCAAGACACCTCTGGATCATCCAAATGGTCATTGGCAAACTTAAGACCGTCCTTGACATGTGCTGGTTTAAGCAGGGGAACCTTCTGTGCCATTCATTGTTTCAAACCATTACATCTTAGTGTACAGTAACCATGGAAACGGTGGTCCCAGCTCTTTTCTGGTCATTGATCAGCTCCCCTTGTGTAGTTCTGGGCTGATTTCTCACCTTTCTTAGGATCATTGAGACCCCACGAGGTGAGATCTTGCATGGAGCGCCAGTCCGAGGGAGATTGACAGTCAGCTTTAGCTTCTTCCATTTTCCAGTGATTGCTCCAACAGTGGACTTTTTTCACCAAGCTGCTTGGCAATTTCCCTGTAGCCCTTTCCAGGCTTGTGGAGGTTAATAATTTTGTCTCTAGTGTCTTTGAACAGCTCTTTAGTCTTGGCCATGTTAGTGGTTGGATTGTTACTGATTGTATGGGGTGGTCAGGTGTCTTTATGCAGCTAACGACCTTAAACAGGTGCATTTAATTTAGGATAATAAATGGAGTGGAGGTGGACATTTTGAAGGCAGACTAACACATCTTTGAGGGTCAGAATTTTAGCTGATAGACAGATGTTCAAATACTTATTTTCAGCTTATCATGCAAATAAATTGTTTTAAAAAATCATATATTGTGATTTCTGGATTTTTCTTTTCTTTTCAGATTATGTCTCTCGAAGTAGACATGCACCTACGATGACAACATCAGAACCCTCCATGATTTCTAAGTGGGAGAACTTGCTAAATAGCAGGGTGTTCAAATACGTATTTTCCACACTGTATCTATTAATACATTGATTTGTTGAATATGTACAGTAAAATATTTCAAAATGCAGGCCTACTTCCTTTACCTTACTGTAAACCCAACAGTCGTTAGTATAACTCTGGTCATTGACCAATTACCATTTAGGAGAATAAATTATACGCCTAAAAAGTTTGTTGTCACATTTTTAAGATATTAATAATGTTTATGAGACTAGCGTTTTTTAGTGGTGCGTGTGTATCCGGTCCATTTCTGTTTTGAATCAGCCACACAAAACCTGTAAGATTGGCCTCTCTTTTCTCACAGATACTGGAAAACTAAAGGTTCTCACAAGTGCAGTACATGTAAGAGGAGCATCTTTTTCATTTACTATTTGAGATACATAATTAATACTATTTTGGATCCAATTTTAGTGTATTGATTTGTGTTTGTCTGTTATTCCAAATCAAAGATTAGTGTGCAAAAGAGTTATGTTTGTATATAAGAAGCCAACATGATAAAGCACATCTGTGAAATGGAAGAATTGGTGAATTAATCTACGTATGTGTTTCTTTTGCACCAAAATCCTTTCACTTTTTAAATAATAACCCTGACAGGAATAGCCACGGTTTCAAGAGGGTCAAAACAATCGGACCTCTAGGATGTACTGTATTTTGTGTAAAATATTGTGTAACAATAAGACAATTGAGGTCACATTTACTAAAAAACTGTTTAACAAAGCAATACCTTTTCTCTTTTTCTTTCTTGTTGGGAATAAAAAAAAAGGGGGCTGAAACTGCTGGACTAATTTTGGAATTTTTGCCTTGGTGCGATGCTTTGGCAGTATGGTACTGGTTGTATAGATCTGTGTGATCACATCAAGAGGCACATCATGTATGTACATATATGTGAATATATATTTTTATATGTATTGATGTATGTATGTATACTGTATATGTACACATATATCTTTGTTTTATTTCCTTTTTTGGCTCCATAAATATATATATATATATATATATATATATATATATATATATATATATATATATATATATATATATATATATATATATATATATATATATATATATATATATAAAGACAAACCAATGCCTTTAGGATTAGTTTTACTGTAAAATACTTTTTACACTTATTTAAGCAAAATGTTTGGCTGCTTTTTCCATATAGAGTAAGTTAAATAAACTGAACTGAATTGACTGAATCCTAAACAAGTGAATGTTCCTTTTAACACAAGCCTGTTTATACTTTATCAGATGCATTTCCTACGACATTTATTGACTGATTTATTGATATTATTGATCTCACAGTGGAGAAATGTACCTATTACATTGGCTCAAATAGTCAAAAAGAAGAAGGTGCCAAAGGAAGAAAAGATGCATGGGGGTACATACATTATATACAGTTCATCCACATATATGACAGCTGAAGTCTTTTTTAATTTTTTTTCAAAGCAAGATTATTATACAGGGTTATTGCACAGGGTATTTATATTGATATTTATATAGTTATTGCACTGGGTATCTCACCAGTTTGTTCTGTTTCTTTAGAGATCAATATATGTATAATATGTATAATATAGGTATTTCCAATATCATGTATACATTAGCCTACCCCCTGAGAGGATTGGTTTTATAAAGTTTATGCTGAAAAAAAATCTGATTTAGATAAGTTTTACGTCTGACTTTGTTATCCTTCAGTTACAGCATTTATAATAATTACTTTATTATTGTCTTTATAATATTGTTATGTTATGCTGTATAATTTTAAATAGTAAATTTTAATGTTATGATGAGTTACTTGAGTGTCCATTTTACCAAATAATTTCTTGAATGTGTATTTTACCTCTTATTTGGGTAAAAAAATATGATAGAGTAATGCAAATATTAACTCAAAAGGCATTTGAAGCCAATAGGTTACCATGGAAACGTGCCACCTTCAAAAGCTCAAACGGTTCAGGAATTCCCAACTCCTGGAAGCACGGCTGAGAAAAGGTATGTTTCCCGCTGTCCTTTGTTTTTAAATTTTTTTTAAAATTGTTTTTATATTAGAAACAAATAAATATATATGCATTTTACTTAATAGTGTTAAAATGATATGGAATTCAATTTAACATTTTATTTTAAAGCAGTTTAACGAGCTAAAGCTAGCAAAAGTCTCCTTGCTAACAGCGATGCTCTTATTTTATTGAACGTTATCCTAAAGTTTCCGCTATTAATAAGTAAAGTTTAAGATATATCATATGTATTTGTATTATTTTTTTTTTTTTTTACTTCTTTATGACTGTAGAATGAGTTAATAGCTAGGAAAAGCGTTCTAACGGCTAATTAGCTGCGTGTTGTCCGTTAGTTTTCCAGAGGACCGTTAGCTGCTCCACGCATTAAAACATGGCGGAGGCTAATGAGCCCCCTCCTATCAACGCCAGTATTTTCCCCGCTAAACTTTGGCGCATGGTGAACAACCCGGAAGACGGAGCCATACGGTGGGACAGCGGCGGGAAGGTCATCATCATCGACCAGCAGCTCCTTGAGACCCGCATCCTGTCCCCCAGCTCCATCACCGCAGACAGCTTCAAGACTACCAACTTCACCAGCTTCGTCCGCCAGCTCAACCTGTATGGCTTTAAAAAACACCAGCCGCGTGTTGATCAGGGGAAAGCTGATGAAGCCAGGTCCTATCATTATTATAGCAACCCCAACTTTGTGCGAAGTTCCCCTCAGCTCCTAAGGAACCTGGTGAGGCTGACTGTGGAAAATAAAGCCAAGCTTAGTGCAGGACAGCGGCTCACTTCTCGGCTTCCTAACTCGCAATCAGGCTTCAGCGGAGAAAACACGGACCTGGTATTAACAGAGAGTAAGAGATCTCACCTGTTTCTGTAGCTCCTCCAGATCAGAGCCCTACTCTGTCTAACCTTCATGTTAAAATATGTTTGCTGCAGGTTGCTCCTTGCCTCTGCATCCCTCACATCAGGCTCATCCATACCATCCCTTTAAATTCCAGGGGATGAGACCACAAAGCGGAACCCCAGTCCCACCTAGATACCTCCACAGGGTTCCTGTTGCAGCTCCTTCCCATCCTTATCTTCATCTTTTGAAAGAGAGACAGGTGCCTTTATGCAACAACTACACTGCAGTAGCCTCCAACTCCAACATGCTGTATGTCCGGAGGGCCCTCCTGCCTCCTACACTCAACAGAAGCCCAGGATTCAACAGTTTAGATCATCCAAATCACCCTCTTCAACCTGGCTGCTATGCCCCAGGTAAGGTGGTAGAAACAGACATCAAACATTTGCAAAAGTGCCTTCAATCTGCTGTCAATTAATGGAGCTTAAGAGTCACTGCCTTGCATTAGCATTCACGCCCCATGAGCCTTTTCTCTTTACGACTGAATAACAATGTGTTTTATGGCAGTGAGAGATGGTTATTAGGTAGAAGCAGAAGTGCACAGTTTTTGTTTTTTAAAGGTACTCTCCCCCTCCAAAAAAAAAATAAAAAAACAACAACTGCCTTTTGTATTTAGTCTCAAAGCATCAATAATCCATTAAACTACCTGTGTCTGCATTATTAAATGGAGATTATCATAAACTTTTAAGTATGGCTCCACATTTTCCCTTGGGTTTAATTCTGGACTTTAATTAGGTCATTTTTAACCCTATATAGGACTCACTGAAATACTTGAAATTTTCAAAATTTTAAGCTAGGAGCGCTTTTTTTGGAGGACAGCACCAGATATTATTACTCTGGTAATATAAAAAAGAACAAAACTGAACTTTTTAACATAGCTTAATAAGATTCTAAACTAGCTTTTTTTTTTCGTTATTATTATTATTTTTATTTTTTTTACTTAATTTACAGATGGCAAAATTAGATGAGTCATTGTTTCTTAAAATAAGTGCATTAGTTCTTGGATTAAGGAGGTAAAACAGACATTTTGCCAATGAAACCAGACAATACACTTAAAATAAGAAAACACAATTGCCTTGTGTTATTTCAAGTGCATATTATCTAATTATCTTATTTTAAGAGTAAAAATACTCATTCCATTGGCAAACTATTTCATTTACTGACTCAAATTAAGGGTATATGCGCTTAATTTAAGCCCTTTTTATTTATTTATAGATCATTTTTTCAGTGTGGTTTTCAGTTATGCTCTGCTTTGAGACAGAGATGAACCTTGCAGACCCTAAAAACCACATTTATCCTCACAATTCTGCCTTATTTGTTGCAAACTGGTGTTTATAAAAGCTTAGAAACAGGATCATCCTATAGCAATCGCAAAAACTGTATAGGCAGGGTGGCAGTTCTGGAACTCTTCGTTGAAATATGTTAGAAATCTATCTGCAAATGGAGTGAATAAAAGATTCAAAAAGAAACCTTCAAAACATTTTTTTTTTTATGTATTAGCTTATGTAGAAAAAGAAAATGTTGCAAAGATTAAAAAATATATATAATACCAGTACAAAATGAAGCATATAAGCATGAAGTGCTGGAAAAACTATCCTGCTTGTTACAGTGAGAGGTCCCTAGCAATATGAAGCCAGATGTTATTTTTCACATAGACACAGGTCCAACAAGCAGTTCTATTTAGAAAACCTTGTCGTCATGGCAGCAAATTTATGACTTTTCTATTGTAAGAAACATGAAAATTATAGGTATTATAGTGTATATTGTATCATTTTGGTGGGCCGTGTGGGTCATTTTGAAAAACAATTATTTTAATGACAGAAAAGTAGGGGGCAGTTCTCTCTGGACTGAAGGGCGGCACCTATCCATTACTTAAGTAGGTGATTCATTTCTTTATTGTCTTGATAAATCGATCAAGCTAAAAAGGCAAACTTTTAGAAAATTAACATTTCCATAAAAAAGCCTTTAGAATACTGAAACAAAGCATTGTGCGTGTAATTAATAGTATTTTTTGCATTTTGGTTGTATTTTATAGGTGAACATAACAAGTGTCATATGAGTAAATTCAGAGTTTTCAAAAAGACATATGTAGCAAAAACAAATAATTTCAGTGTTACAATAGTTAGTAAAAAGCTTCTTAATTATCGAGTAACTGTTCCTGTCCTCTGGTTTGATATTTTAAAGGAATCATTTAATAAATTCTGGTATAGTAAAGACTAAAATAGAAAATATATAAAATAACTAAATTTATTTTTAAATCCTTTGATTGGATTATCAGGTGGTACATTGATAAATTATCCAATATATATTTATATACTAAATGAATAATGCCTTTTTGATTACATTATGACAGCCTTTGGCCAGCCATATAAAAGGGTGTATATCTATATACGTATATCTCTGTAAGGAGGCATGTTTCAGAGTATTTAGCATATGCTTACCTAAGGATTCGTTTTGTACTACCCAATGAAATTATGCTTATTTCAGGAATCGAATTGATCACGATAAATTTTTTCACTCTACTGGACTTTACTAATTATGTGACTTATGTAGGGATGTGGTTGCATAATTTTTTTTGTGTGGGGGGGGGGGGTTGGTATCAGATTAGAGAGTATTAATAGAAATACACGCTACTCTCTTTAAAGTTTTTATTGTTAAAAACATTTAAAAGTCATCATGCTACTTTCTGACCAAATAAAATCCCGGTTTGGTACTTTGACGTTTGTGCTTATAAAGTGACAAAATGTGAAAAAGTTCCAGGGCTATGATCACTTTTGGAAGGCAATGCAGGTTCAGTCCCATGGAGTCCCATAATTTTTATTTTAGAAATGTACAATTTTATGTGTTTTTCCGTTTGAAGCTTGCTGTCTCTTCCACCCGAACCGTGTGGCACTAACTACTGCAGTCCCCGCTGCTCAGTCGCCCTCTCCTATAGGTTATTATCAGGTCGGTGAATTAGGCTGGATAGAGTTCCAGAGTTTAACTCACTTCATAAAAACATGTTTGATGTCTGAAAACTTTTATTTGAACAATTCCAGGCAGGAAGTCCTGTGACCGTGTTTGGGTTCAACCGCAACTTACACGGTACAGAAAACCAGGAGGGGGAAAAAAACGACATTGACTTGGATGCAGTTTTCCAGATTGCAGATGAGGTGATGCAAACGTCCTCCAGCGTCTGTCTGGTGAAAGTCCAGACTAGAGAGGAACCCGTCTCTGTGCCAGAGCCTTCCTTTGAGCATGCTGATGCCATATCGTGTGACAACAATAGGAGCGCTGCTGCAGTTACAAATAAAAAGGAGAAGCTTGTGGTTTCACAACCTGACCAAAAGGCTGAAGATGCTAAACACGAGGTAGGCTTCACTTCCAAACATGTTCCCAGTTCGACCAACCTATTTTCTACCCTCAATTTAATAATGAAAAAAAAAACACCTGGAAATGTAGTATCTTGTTTTTTTGCATGCTTTTTAAAGACCAGCATATTTATTAGTAATGTATCTTTGTTCTATTTGTATGTACGGGACATGGATTGGATGATAATAATTATAAACACCACAGCATAAAAAAAAAATATATATATATATATAAATATTATTTTTTAATTAATATAAACAAGCTTATTTATGCTTTCATAGAAGTAATAAAGCTAATCCAATATTGTATGCATGAAAATGGTATTATAATGTGTAATAAGTTAGTAGAAGGTATAGTGGAAGATTTTCACAATTCTTTTTTAAAAGACCCGCCCTCTCCTCTTTGCAAAAAAGAAAAAATGCACATGCACAACCTGTACCTGCTCCAGAGAGGGAAACCCTAATAAATGTGTGCGAGAGCGTGCACAGGTCCATTTCTCCTTGTGCACGCTCTGTTTAAAAGTGGCTGTTTGCATCGCTCATACAAGCTCACTTTCTAAAAGACGATTTGCAAAATTTCCATTATGTCAGACTCACCACCAGTAGGTGAAGATGGGGACGAGCACGTGGGATAGCCTTACGAAAAACATATCACCAGAGTGATTGACAATTGGGAAGACCACTTATTTTGATGATGCAACCCGGAAAAAGAACATCCTCCACTATACCTTTAAGTTAGTTGTCCAATAAGTTATTAGTTATTAGAAGTTAGGTCTTATGCTGCGATCACAAGGATCTCTGGCGGCTTGGGGCTCTGCTTGTTTATCTGCTTTCATCTTTAGCTTCAAGCTAGAGATCAGCTTGGCTCTATTTACTTTGAAAAGTTGGAAAATATAGTTTTAACACGTTTTGAAGCAAGAAAATCCACTTCCAAACATCGTCTGTGCGTCAGTTCATCAGGATTATGATCCTACAGTTCTTGTTCAGAGAGCCACATGGGAGGCAGCACTGGAAATCCCCACTGGGAGCTCTCTGCAGCTGGGCCAGCCTGTGGGGGATTTCCTGCTGCTGTTTGTAGCAGCTGGAATTAAATATAAAAAGTGTTTTAAGGTTTGAAGTAAAAACTGCAAGAACCAGAACATACAATTAAGAATTTTCTATTGGCGGGTTTTAAACTATTTAGTTAAATTGGGTATTTATAAAGTGTTTAGCCATAGTTCATAAAAACTATTTTATTGAAGCAATAATGACCAGAGCTCGTTTTACAAGACAATCAATTCTTCCGGTGTTCTGTTAGTTCAGCATACCCCGTCAGACCAGCATACCCATAGTACGTACGCATGCACAAGACATCAGATTTGCGTTTATCCCTTTAGTTTTGTACGAAAAATAGAATTTAAACTACCTTAACCGGCGTGTATCCCTTTGGTCATCTAGAAAAAAAATCAATTTAAGGTGAGCTCTCTATACGCTTCAGAAAACACAGAACAGTAAGTAATTAAATGTTTTTTTTCTACATGACTAAAGGTATATACGCCCGTTGATGTAGTTAAAGTTTAATTTTTGCACTAAAGGGATAAACTAAAGAGATAAACGGGTAGTGACTATGGCTATGCTGGTCTGACCAGGTATGCTTATCTGACAGAACACCGGCTTTTATTTTTTTTTATTTTTATTTTTTTTTTACCTTTGGAGTTTAACCCCCTTGATATTTATTTCTTTTTCATATGCAGAATGTCAATTACTGAACTCGAGCGTTGGACGCTTGAAAGCTAGAAATGTGCTGCTAGTCCCCTCGACGCCGTCTACTATAGGCCTTGCATATAAGCCAGATGCTTTGACACCCAGCCCCGGTGTAAATGCAGCATTAGTGTTTAGGTTGTCACCCCAGTTCACAAACAGCCCTACTGTAGCGGTTGACTGTCCTTTAGTGTGATATGATATGAAGTTTTTCCAACCTGAAATATCCCCAAGCACTTTCTCATTAGCGAGAGAACAGACTAGGCTTCTTTCAACCAGCTGACCCAACAGTGTGTGCAGCAACAGATGGGGCAGATTAGCTGTTATTTTATCCTCCTTTTAGATATTGTAAACTCTGCTTTACTGGTCTACTCTCCAAAGATTTCTTTGGGATCTTATTAAAGTCGTAGGGAAGCGGCTGTTCCAAGCGTTGCATTTCCGAATTTCCCCGAGTGGTGCCCGACTTTACACGAGTGAATAAAATGAATGTGATTGGTCGTTTGCAAGCACGTTTGGTTGTGGCTGATGTCTCGGAAGCAGCGACCAAGTAGCACTTAATTGGTGACTTAGCAACGACACTATCAAGAAACGCTATGGACAGTGGAAACATGCAAGAGGAGGACTGTTTTGTGTCAGAGGTCATGAATGAGTCTCCGTCATACATGTTTTATTTAGGGGAGGAAAGCGGGGACGAAGACGTTGTGAAAGAGGACGCCAGGGTGGCAGAAGCTTGGTTTGGTGTAGAAGGTTTACAGTCGTACATGTTTGAGCCCTTGCCTCGCAACGCTGCCAGTTCTGTTAGCTCTACGCCTGCTGAAGACACACGTCCATCCCCGTGAACACTGGGACGGAACTCAATGGGAAAGTAAACAATTCTTATTTCAACCGTTGCGTATATTAGCTGCGACATATGAATCAAGATGCTATGACCGAAAAAATTAGATTTGCAGATGATCGTTGATATATGATTGGCCGAATTTAGGTGTTCAGGCTGACGTATGACTAACTGGCCTCCACAAGATAACGAAAAATGTATACACTGATTTTAAGAGAGGATTTTTTTTTAAATCTTGGGACTATATCTGATAAAGAGTACATTTATATACATGTTTAAGCCAGAATTATTTGACATTTAAATATGACTTTCAGACGACTTTAAGAACTTTAAATGGTGGGAACGATGGATTTTTATTTATTTATTTTTTTGCAAATTTGAGATTTAAGCAGTTTCAACCTCTGTTTACCTTCGTACCAGTCAATTGAACAAACGTTGCGGAAATACATGAAATATTTGAATAAAACCTGTTTATTTCTGTGATTTTCTGCTATCTTCCTGTGTGTCTTGGCAAGGCTCGCTCTGATCCAGAGCTCAGTGTGGATGCTAACAACTCAGCTGAAGATTCCAGTCAGGGTTAGGATGAGCAGACCACATCTGGTTTTTAGGTAAGGTAGAACCCTACAGAAGCACAATGAGGAAGATTCATTGAAAGAGTTTACGTGTTTATTTAGTGTCAGTGACAGGTGGTTACATCTTTCATTTAGATCTCAACTGACTGATTCTTTGAGCATGAAACGAGACGCCCTGGCTCAGTCTGCAACCAGACTTCAGTATCCACTTTGTTCATTTCGTCTGCCAGTAAAAACTGTTCTATTGTTTTGACACAAGCCTTTTTTCTCATTATTTTTTTGTTGTTGTTGCTCAGTTGTTGTCCTTACAGTACTGAAAAAACTGTAATGTATTTGCCTTAAACTCATAATTTTTTTTGTTGAATGCTGTACATGCTTTTAAAAACAGTGGCAGCTCTTTTGCAGAATGGGATTTCGAAGAGAAATAAAACTCAGGAACCTTTTTAGGTTTGTAAAGGAAACTCTGTTAAAGTTGAATATTTCCAGCTATAAATTGCTCGCTTTTGAAGCAGCAGTTACTGGTATGTCTGATATACATTTCAAGACATAAATGTTATTCAAAAATATAATAAAAAACAAAATGTACTTTGCAGCTGACTGGTTTATTTATGAGAGGCTTGTTGTTGAAGAAATGTTACTTTAAAGACAGTAGGGGGAGCCATTCACCTGCTGTTGATGATCAGGGCTCGTGGCGCAGCTCCACCCTCAGTTCTCTACAGGGTGCTTTCATGTGCAACTCGGAAACTAGATGCCTAAAAAGCTGTTATTTATCTTTTTTTTATTTAAATAGGTGCTGGATTCAACTAAATTTGTATAAGTGTTATGTTTAATAATTATTTTTCCTTTAAATTGAAAATCAAAAGAAGATTTGTTTTTTTCTTAGTTACAATAATGACGTATTACACATAACTCGCAATCTATTCAAATTCCTTAAGATGCGGCGTTTAATTATGTTTTTCTGTTTATCGTAGCGGATAGTTTTCCTTTATCTTCTTGTTAATTTTGACGGAAACTTGTTTTTACGTGTTCACGTGAAGGCGTCAGCTCAGCCAGCAGGTAGAGTGACGGTGAGATCCCAGGGGAGCGACGCAGAGTCCGGGAGACAAACTTTGGGACTGTGCTATAACCCAACTGTGTATCGGCGCCCCGACACCGTTCATTGAGGAGTCCGTGGAGGTTGGACTACTATTCCTTTTTTTTTTTTTTTTTTTCTTTCTGGGAGGTGTTTTTTCATTCCCGTGTTCTTGTTGGTAATCTTGATGAGCGATTCATTCCCCCATCGGTGCTCTCAGGAGGGTCGGCTCCAGCTCCCCAATGTGCTGCGGAGGATCTGAAGTCATGGAGGGGGGGGGGGGACTCTGAACACACCGACCTGCTGTAATTAAGAACCGACCGCTTTATGATCGCTTTAGTTACAAAGTTAAAAGCTCAACAGGAAAACTCTCCCTTTGTTCCGCTCAATCATTTGATTTTAACGACCGAACTGCTTATTCGAGGATTATTACTATATTTTTCTTCTTCTAGCAATTCCTGGGCTGTAAAGCTTATTGCACAACTTTTCTCGGCTCGGCGTCTTATCCGCGAGCATGACTCCAAACTCTGCGGCGGCAACCTGTGTCCTAGCCTTTGAAGTTCAAGCCGTGACTCACCAGCGTTTTTGGTGGATTTATCCAGAAAACGAGGCGCCCACGAGCCGGGCTCGCTTTCTCTGACACTTTCTACCCAGCACTATGACTGGATTTCACGTCTTCTAAGAGCCTAAGTTGAACCCAGCATGAGAGAGGATCCGATCCATCGGAGAGAGGAAAACAAGCTGGTCGCTGTGATGCAGAAATCTGGCTTCAGGTTCCTTCATGCTGCTGTGGAGTTCCCCCTCCGATCATCAACACTGGATGCAGGTTCATTTAGATTCTCCTCAATAAGTGTTTGAATTCTAACCCAGATGTTGAGTTCTGGTGGAAGACCTTCATCGTTAACAGCTTGGATTATAGCTCGTTTCTTCTGCAGGTAGATTACTAAACTAGAAAGAGAAGAAGTGGGACCTGTTCCAGTAGGCTAGGTTGATATTTCTCACCCAAGTCCACCATGTGCGGCCGGGCCCCGCCACTCCAACCGAGGCCATGACCGTCCCTCTGCGGCCCCTGGCCGGGCTCTGGCCGTGGCTTCTCATGGCGGCCCTGCAGGTGGTGTTGGGCCAGCCGAGCCTGGAGTCCGAGCGCTCGGGCCTCCGAGCGGTCATCAAGGTGACCCTGGTGAAGGAGCCCAAGGGAGAGCCCATCGTTCTGAAAGGGGAGTTCGTGGGAGGAAGTGCAGGAAAGGCGCAAGGAAAACTTATGCAGGTAAGAGCTGAGTTACACTGGATTAAATCTAACCTTTCTCCCTGATTTCCACAGTGAGATCTTATTTTTACCTGTTTGAAAGACTGTAAATAGGTCTGGACCCATTTAGAGCAATGATCCGGATCAGGATCATTGCTCAGTTTATTAAAAATAGAAAAATAATCAAGAGCTGATGCACATATAACACTTTTATTACAGGTGAATACCCTGATTCCACCATACATGCCTTTTACTGCACTACCTCATTCCTACACACACTCCCATCTGTTTCTAGCAGTTTACACATCATCAACTGTCTGATAATGATTTTCACACCTCTGTAGGTTTTATAGCTGCAGCACCTGTGAAAAGTTAACACCCAGTTGTGATCAGCATGAATGGAATATTTGCTTTGGGCTTTTAATTTTCCATTTTGACCGTTTTGGAAATAGAGTGGAGCGATGATATAACAAAGTGGATTTTAGAAACAGATTTTCATGGAAGATAGAGTTCAAGGTTCTACCTCCTGGCTGTTATATAATCACCTGTCTGGGGATACATTTCGCTTTGCAAATTTTTTTGAAGACATCAACAAGTTCCTGGCTTGATTAGTGATGGATATATGATCACTGCTATCACCAGAAAATCAGGCCCTTATTTCATTTAAATTATCTCATTCCATGCATTTTAATGTCTGAGGTCAGCTTACAGTTGACCCGCTTTATCTTTCCCACCATCTTTTGTTGAAAGATATTTCTTGGGATGTTCAAAAACAACCCAGGATCTAGTAGGTGCTGAAACACCTCCTGTTTAAAGACTGATTAAAGGCCAGAATGAACAAGTTTCTTTGGATTGCAGAGGTACAAAATTTACAGTTTAACAGCTTCCTTCTCATCCCGGCTTGATGGATGATCCACAGAAAAATGGAAATATACAAGTCATTTTTTCTTAGAATAAGTGCATATGTTTTTGGATTCAAGAGGTAAAACCGACATTTAGCCAATGGAACAAGACAATTTAGACTTAAAAAAGAAAGCACAATTGCATTGTCTTATTTCAAGTGCATATTATCTAATTATCTTATGTTAAGAGTTAAAATAATATTTTTTTTTGGCAAACAATTTCATTTACCAACTCAAATTAAGGGTAAATGCACTTAATTTAAGAAATTTTTCCTTATTTCTAGATCGTTTTAACGTTAAGCGTTTTATTACATGTTTGTTTTGATAAAACATGTCAGCTGCAGTTGCCAACTGCTGTAGGTGTATCTTTTCCAAAGTTACTGCTTTGTTTCGCTATTTCTGGAATCTGGTTTTCATCCAATGCACTTAATGTCAAGGTGCGGCATGAAGCTTTTAAAGAAACGCTAAATCATGTTCAAGAAAGATGGAAGCCTTTAATTGGGACACTCCGCTGAAGGAAAATGGCGTTAGTCCCTCAAATATGAGGTATGCGGCCTATTCAGTTTGCATATTTAGGAATCAAGAATGGATTAGGGTTCCCAAGCTGCGAGGCTTTCCTGTGTGAACTTATTTACCGTTTCCAGAGGAACAGTACCACAGAATGGGGTACTGTAAGATCTCATCCGTCGTCAGCCACCAGGTGTGGGGCTATTTGTGAACGTTAAGCCAGATGCTTCAGTTTGCCGTTATTGATAGGGTTTTGCACGGCTTCGTCACGGAGAAAGCCCCGCATTAGGCACGGTGAAAAGCCTCTGCTGTTTGCCTTCCCAGCATAAAGCTCATCTGACATTGGTGCGTCTGTGTGAGAAGTTGAAAACATGTTACGGATGCACATCACAGCACTGCTCAGATCAAAGACTCCTCCAGCTCTTTGGGATTTCCAACTTTCTGTAGTTTTTTCCTTTTTTTTTTCTCTCCCCCCCCACAAACCTTTCAGGGTTTTGGAGATTGATGGGGCTTCTTATTAAGGATAAATGCAGGTTATGCGGTTCATATTTCCATCCAGACTCATAATACATCCCCATCTTTAAAAGAATATTCTGATTTCTTCCACAGTCAGAATTGCTGCAGCCTGAATCCTTCTTCTTCCTCCCCTAACCATGCACTGTTGTTATTTCCTCATATCAGTCACTCCGATCGTAGATTGTGGTTCTTTTAAAACCATAAATGTAAACTTCACACATACAATCTCCCTCCAAGGCTGCACAGCATTGATCTTGTGCTGCAGGAGGCTCTTTGTTAACACAGACCTTTTCTATCAGGTCTTTTTTTTTGCCTTTTCCGGCGGCTTTATGCAACCACTCTAGGTTCTTGTTATCCATTGGATGAGGAGAATGAAGGATTGAAAGTTTTATCCTTCTGCATTGAATCAATATGGATTTTATTTGCTTTTTGGATGAAGGATCATTTTAGGCAGGTAGGTTTGCACTGAGGACTCGCAAAATAAACAGTTTTAAGTCCAATTTTGGACACAGTTCTTATAAATCTTTTGATCCACTGATACCAGTTTAAGCTGATTTGGACTTTTCTTTGCAAACTTCTGTTTAAGTTGACATAAGAACATTCCTGACCAAGTTTTCATTATTTAAAAAGAATTCACATTGAGTTCAGCCAGTGTAATTATAATGTTTTATTATTTTAAGAATTATTATTTTTAAACAAAAGCATTTTATAATTTGAAGCAAAAATAAATTATTTGTTTTTTTTCTGATAAATCTGCTGCAGATTATTGGTAGCATGGTTAATGCAGCTAGCATTACTGGACAGCCGTCTCTGTATGTATTTTGTAAAGACTGTAAGCCCTTATCATAGCTCTGCCATTTCCAAAGAGCTGCTAATATTCCATACTAGAGATCTAATTCTTAAAAGGATGAACCAAAGCTTTATTTCTTCCCATTATTTATGTCAAGACTTGCTCTCTCTTGCTTTTTTGCAGCCTTAGTGAACCGTAGACACGTTAGAAGAGCTGTTTCCTTTTTACGCACCGCGGCCCATTGTCTTAAAGGTGCATAGACACATTATATGCCCATAAAAAGATAAAACAAACATATGATCATGATACACCGTGCGACCATGCCTATAGTGTTTAGCCTTAATAGAATTGTAGCAGCGGCCATGATTAACCGACTTTGCGCCATCTGCTGGCAGTACTGCAGAACTATTAGAAAGCCAGATGACGACTACTTAAGGAACGACTAATTAAACAATTTAAATCTAAGCTCTAGTGAATCCTTCACAGAGCATCCTACCAGAACATTAGTGGAAAGGAAAATAAGTTTCTACCAAACACAAAGAAAGGCACAGGATCAAGGTGAGAGCCAATCAATTGATCTATTTGTAATATCGTTCATGCTCAAACTGTAGAGACTAAGAACAGTTTCCTCAAACGTCTGACAACCTGACAGCTTTATCTCCAACTTCAGTGAACATCAACATTCATTTTCTTACCCCTCTTGAATCAAATAATTATATATATATTTTTTTCCACCCTGGATCTTGGATTTTTCTGTATTGTTGCTACATTTCCTTGGAGATGCTAACTGATTTAGCAGCATAGGCTACTTCCTTTTTTCCCCTCCAGCACATATGTTTTTTTATTGGAATTACACACAAAGAGCTTTATTTACTAATGAACTGAGCCAAAAGCAAAGCATGAAATGCAAAGATAACAGTCTTCCAGAAAACACCCAATGATCATTAGCTCCCGGTTTTATTCCTTCAGTCACAGCTTCCCTTTGAAGAGTGTTATAATGCTGGTTACTAGCTGCGTTTGTTTACCATCAATCTTTGCTTACCTGCAGTGTTGTTTCCTTTGAAATAAGAACATGTTTGCCAACATGAGGGGCGAGCAAACATGTTTCACCGGGGACAGAGGAAAGTTCACGGCTTTCTTCAGCCTGTCCAAGTCATGAGGCTTCACTTTGGGACGTAACTCCCTCTGATCTTTTAAACTGTGATCTCTCTGGATGGATGCCCTGTTCACTGAATAGACACGTTCATTGGAACACTGGCTGGGTTCAGGCCAGCGCTGTTTGGACAAACACTAGTGCAGAGGAATTTTTGATTCTCTCTCTCTCTTTCTGTCTCCTTTCCAAAATGGAGCTCAGTGATGAGAGGAGAGGTCCCAGAACTTTGGAGATAACCCTCAGAGCTTTTCTTCAGGTCTCTGTGGAAAGATGGAGTTTATCCTCTTAAGGCACGAAGCCCAATTACAGGACATCATTAAAGCTCCACCTATCTCCACTTAAAACCATCTTGACTTTCTATCTCTGTCTTTTGCTGCTGCATTTTTTTTGGCTCTTTGTTCTTTACGGCGCGTTGACCAGTGAGAGCTCCCTCAGATTCATCAGCTATAATTAAGGATGGCCACCAGTTAACTCTGCGCCACTTCACATTCCTCAACCCCCACTTCCCAGTTTCCCAAAAGGTACTGAATGCCTCCTCTCCACCTCCCCGAGTCCCCCCACCGGCCCTCGGTGCAGTCGTTTGGGAGGGCGGAGTGGGCGCTAAGGGACAACATCAAAGTACGGCCAGTTCCGAACGTGAGCTGGGATGATTAAAAGCTGAGACTGTTTACACTGGGCTTCCCATTCGGGCCCTCTCTTCCCCCTCCCTCTGGATTTCCTGTCCATACTTCCTATCTCCGTGGACGAGATAACGGCTCGTCCAGGGCTCCTTAGGGCTCCTTGCCACTTAACATTGCAGAGAACGCCTCGATGTATTGTTCTCCTCATATAAACTGAAAAGTGCAGAAAAAAGGCAACAAATCAGCAACTATTTAGATCAAAAAGAGTTTCAAAGGGAAATTAAACGCAAACCTTTCTGCTAAATTTGCATCATATTTTCTCTGCTGATCCGCGGAGCTCCTTTTTGGCCTAGTTTTAAAGACAAAAGCAAGAAAATGGTTTGAAGACAAAATGTATAGCTTCTTAAATCACTACTAATTGTTTAAGAGTAGGGGCTGCTCAGGGGAGCAGTCAGTAGCATTGCTGCCTTGCAGCAAGAAGGTTCCGAGTTCAATTCCCAGCCTGAGAACTCTTTCTGCATGGAGTTTGCATG